TCTCTCTCTCTCTTCCCCTCTCTCTCTCCCTCTCCCTCTCCCTCCCTCCCGTCCTCCTGGATTCAAGAAAAATTGTTGCTTTTTTGTCTGTTCAGCTTGTTACTTGTTCTTCAGACAGAATAGTGACCTCCAGGCTCCTGGCATGTGGACCAGGAAACGGCACGTTAGCACACTGAAACTCAGACCTGCTCTTTTGGCTTCTTACCACAAAGTACGATGAAGGCTAACTGAAACATTAATATTGAATTATAACATAACCTTAAGCTTACCAAACTCTCTGAGAGCTTGCAGGCTTTATCATTTTTTGAGAATATGTATGTAGAAATGAAGTCCATAGTGTTATTATAGTTTTATCTGATCATAATACTGTTTTATTTGAGAAAGCTTTAATCTACAAGTAGAGAATGACCACAGAAAGCATTGAATTAGTTTGGGGAACCGGAAGAAGTTAAATTGGTGGATATTGTTACAATTAAATTGACTGGATAACCTCACCTTCAAAATGCAGGTTCTTATCACATATCTGTTGCATGCCTTTGATAGAAATTGAAATGATTACATTGTTTGGAAACCTGAACTGTTAAAAAAAAAAACCAAAAAGCTCCATTGGGGCCTTTAGTTTTGTTTGGTTTTGTCTGAAAAGGACAAAAAAAAAAAAAAAAGGACCCCTTTTGGCCATAAAAGGAGTCACCAGTGTTTTCTGTCCTTGAAAAGCGAAATACAAAAGCAATTTAGGAAATACCTATCAGAGGGAGATCTGCAGATGTTTAGCTTCTCCGATTATCTAGAAGTTCTACCAAATTTCATACTGCCTCATCTTTTACACCAAACTGCAAGCACAGAGACTGCAGGACTCAGCATGTACTTACTTTTTAATAACCTCCCATCTCTGTGGCCTGATCCTCGGGATTAATGATAACGGAGATTTCAAGATACCTTGTACAATTCTGGGAGAGATGTTTCCGTACTCACTGTACTTTGGCCACCCTCCTTACAAGTTCATCACACAACTTGTTTAACATGTTTACTTTTTAAACACTTGGAGAATTAACAGGTGGTTGCATGACTGAGGTGTTTGTTTTAACAGGCTAAAAAGTGGGAGGTAATTTAGACATACACTATGATGCAATAGGAAAATACCTAATTATTCCATTTTTGGCTCAGCTTTTAGTTTCAGTTAAAACTGCTGATAGCAAGGCTCAACAAGCCTAGTTTGTAGCATAGCACTCTTAACATGGTCTTCATATGAAGCAGCTGGCTCACTAGCAATAACGACCGTGCTTTAGTTCCTTGTACATGGAACCCTCTGGCTTTAGTGCTAGAACTTAGTAAAAGTTCTCAGAACATCTGTCATCAGCTGTTAGAATGTGAGTACAGAAGACTCTGAAAGCCCCGTATCTATTTCAGCATACTCTGGAAGCCAACATAATATTTACTGTCTGAACATAGAATGCTCAGAGAGTAAAATCCTGAAAAACATGACACCTAATTGTTATTTTGCCAAGTACACCCATCCTGATGTGTCAGGATACAGGTTATGATTGGTTCTTGGACTGTTCTCATTGAGTGAGTAGAAGGAACAAGGCATTTTGCTGGATAGTTAGTTCATTTAATTTGGCATCAAGAGACTACTGTCAGAAGTAAACATGGTCGGAGATACAGATTCAGGATCAGGGGTGGCTAACTCTTTCTGTAAAGAACCAGATCGTAAATACTTCAAGATTTATGAGCCATACAATCTCCGTTTTAACCACTCAACTCTGCTGTTGTTGCATGAAAGCATTTCTAGATAACACATAACTGAATGAGTATGGCTGTGTTTCAGTAACATTTTATTTACAGAAATAGGTGATGTGCTGGACTGGCCCAAGGGCCATCATTCGTGAACCCCTACTTTGGATCTCAGAAGATATAGCGCTGAGCTATATGATTCTTACCTCACAGAAAAAAGAGCAATGGTTTTCAGTTAACTGGGCTAGTACATATAACCTTCAATATTCGTAGCCAAGACTTCACTATATGTATATATAATAAATTTGTTGTCAGAAAAAAAAAAAGCATTATTTCCTCACTGGCTTCTTTGGGGGTTAATCCAAATAGTGTATTTATTTATCACTTATACCCCACTTCCTTCCCAAAATAAATTGAGGTAGCTTCTAATAAAAGACATCTTTAGCTATCAAAAGACATATAAAAATTAAACCCTTCAAAATAACCTCTGAATAATCTATATCCACCTGCCAACGCAAGCTGGTAGCCCAACCATTTCTGGGGCTGAACAGTCCTGGGGACACCTCCTGAGTTTAATACTGATGTGGTCCCGATTTTATCTTCTCTAGCATAATTTCCTTTCTGAAAAAAAAAAAACACCCATGTTTTATATTAAGTCTCCTACAAAAGGAAGTGTTAGGATCCGTCGTTTTTCTTCTAATTGAAGTATAAGCCAAAAACTGTTATACCAACTAAGTGGGTATATGGGAAGGAGAGAAAATTATAAGCTAATGAAAACTTTGGTGGGCAAGTGACCTCTTTAGAACAGATCCCAGGGCTCATAGAGATACATCTATGCTCTCTGAGGAAGAGGAATGTGAAATTACTTTAGAGTTTGATGGTCAGAAGCACACCTGAGAGGTGGACAGAGGAGGTGCGTTCTGGCGAAGTGTCAGGGAGGATAACTTTTAGTGGGTGTCAGAATGTGGAAACAAGGCCAAGTGATTTGAGGACCTGCCAACCTGAGGGGGGCCCCAAAGACAGTTCTGGATCTATGGGAAAACTATGTGGGTACAAATGACTCTAATATAATGTCCTGATTAATATCGGATTCGAATACCTGGCCATTTGCCGCAGGAGATCATGTAGAACCTGGGTGAGGGGATCTGCTTAGGTCCCTGGCACTGGGGAGGGATACCTGACATGCTCATGCGGACACTGACAGTTAAAGTGAGGAAACACTTCCCTAGGAAACATGGGGCCAGGCCAGGACTCGCTCCCACGTGAAGACAGAAGACGCTCACTTGCCTGGTAATTGGATTGAGAACATCAGAGTAGAACCAGAAGTGAGACAGAGGCAGAGTTAAGGACCAACAGGCCACTCTCATGAGAGAATTTTAAGATGCAGTAGTAGCGAATCCTATGATGTACAAGAAATAAATACAAGAAATCAATTCTATAATTGGCAGCTGGGAAAATGTTCAGTATCTGTTTTAAAAATATTTTATCTATTCTGTAAATTACAGAAATGTTTTAGTCTGTAAGTGGAAAAGAGAAATTAAGAATTCCCCATTGAAGCTACAATTTCTTCTCTCCTTCCCTCGGTGATAAGGCAAACTGGTATAGTGTTTGTGGGGGCGGGGCCATTTGGCAGTATCTATCGAGGTAATGAACGTGAACACTATTTGATCCTGCAACTGGACTTCCAGAATTTATGTTTTTAAAAATGCAGACTTTCAAGCTTGCAAAGATATTTGTGCAAAGGTAATCATTATATTAAAACATTGAAATGAATTGCAGAAAAAATTTCATATTTCAGAAGTTTGGGGATTTGAGAACTCCGTATAAGGAATGGCAGACCTGGATACACAAGCATTTAAAGTTTGGCAGGGATAACAGGTGAAGTACAAAAAGTAAATTTCAGAACAGCTTAGATAGAATGATCCCCTTTCTTTGAAAGTAACCGTGATCACTTGTGTGTGAAGATATATGCACAGAAGATCTAGAAACATGCAAAAAATTGTGCATGGTGGCTTTGGCGGGTACAGATCACAGTGTATGAGAAAACAAGCTGATTCTTACAGTGGGCTCTAATAGGAGAATCCCACACTTCACTGTGACAAACCCTGGGGGTGGGGCAGGAGGTAGAGGGGGAACTTGAGTAGTCCTGAGTGCAGCTTGAGAAGAACATAACATTAGAAATCAAAAGAGGCTTCTGTTTTCCTAATTATACATGAGGCTTACGTGTCATCATTACAGATACTCACAGTTGTAAGCCTGTCTAACACAGGTATTTCATTTATTCACTAATTTAGCAAATATGCATTGAGTGCCTGTGGTGTGAGAAACACCATGCAAGGCACCTGGGCTATATAGCAGTAACAGAACTAAGGCAGCCTCAAGCAGACAGACCCATGGTGTCACCAGAGGCCTCAAGAAGGTATAATGTTGAAATGGATGCATGCTTTTGCCCGATTCAGAGTAACAGCAGTGGGCATTACAATGAAATCAAAGTTTCTTAAATGTGTTTGAGTTTTCTTTCTTTTCACAGTTTTTTTTTTTAATTTCAGTCTTTGAGTTATGTTTATAAATAGAGTTTTTGATGATGATTAGTGTTTTAAATATGAAACCTTCTACAAAGAGGTTGTCTGGCTAGCCTGTGACAATGACCCACAAAGTGGCTTTGGTTTCTAATTGCATCCATGTGTATCAGATTGACACTGTAGCCTCTCACCTTGCACAAGGAAGAATCTGTAAATAAACAATATCTTAATGCAGACAGAGAGAGAAAGACACAGATAAATATATATATAGGTCTTTATGCACCTATATGTTGCCACCTATTAACTCAAATATTTATGTTTTCTTCCACAGAAAAAGCAAAGAACAAAAGATCTTTCTCGGATATTTCATTCTTACAATCCATATGATCACAAGGTAAGAGACAGACGCATGTGATTAGTGTATTGGATAGTAAAAGTCTTTCTCAATATAGCACAATTTTCACCTAATTATAGTGATTTTGAAGTACACTTACCAGTTCTGTTTATATTTCCATTTTAATTTTCAACTCTATCTCTTTAAAAGAAAACAGCAAATTTGTATTTCTGAACTGAAATAATTATATTTTATTCACATTAAAATCTCGTTACATATTGCCCCTGAAATCTTCAAGATGGAAAAGACAGAGTTGGGGTTGTTTTTTGTTTGGTTGTTTTTTTTCCCTTACCTAACACTGTAATGATGGACTTGGTTTTTGAATTGATGAAGCTATTGGGTTGTTGGAAAAGTCATGATGCATTTTTGCAACGAAAAACAGAAAAAATACGTCATGACTTTTCCAAGAACCCAATAGTTCCAATTCTTGGTTCTCCATTGCTCCTGATAGAAAGCTATTTATCTCAAAACAAACAAAAAAAAAAACCCTAACAAAAAGCTGTGCATAGTATTATATCTGAAATGTCCATTGCCCAAGGTTTTGCTACACAGAAGACTAAATACTGGGGTAACCCCAGTATATCGTCCCACGTTTTATATTCCCATGGCTGTTCTTGCCTCATGTACAGCTCATGCTCTCCACTCCCTGTATTTGAAGAATGCTCATATATCTTTTCACTTATGAGTATTTCACCATTTATTTGTAAAAGATAAGGACTCCTAAAAAAAAAAAAAGAACTGATGACTGTTTTTAAAGAAAATGCTCAACACCACATCTTCATAGAGAAATATATTACAAGGTTTCTGAGAGTTGTGCAAAACTTCTATATCATGCAAGGTTCCAATAAGTCTGTTAATTTGAGGTGATTTCGGAAGTAAACAAAAATTTCCACAGTTGAATTGCTAATATAAACTTAATATAATCTATGAATTTACAAGGAGACATGTGGTGGGGATTTTTTAAGTAGCCAAAATAAGTAGTGTGAAAACTACTTTCCTCCGTTGAAAATGTGAAGATGTCTGGATTCAGGAGGAAAAAATTGTGCCAGTTGTTCATAGAAGTTGAACGAATTTGAATAGCTTCTAGTGTTTCTATAGTGACCAACTGACTTAAGCACCAAAAATTAGTAAAAGAGGTGTTTATGTTCCATATGACCATGGCAACATACGAAACTAAAAATTATGTCATGTGAAGTTACTTTTTTGAAGCTAAATCAATTGCTTTGCAGAACAGCAATTTTTTTGGAAGAGATTGAGAGAGCCAGTAGTGTCTGACAATGCAGACGGAAGGTGCAGGCTGATAAGTCATACAACAGCAAAAGGAATGAGATTGGCCAGATTTCTGATGGAAAAGTTGCATTTTTTAGATGAAGCCATGTAATTAACATAAATGCAACAGTGGCTAAAGTTAACATTTAACAACAACAACAACAAAAAGCTGTGACAAATCAAAGGTTTTGCTTGACTTGTCTAAATTTTGCCCACTTCTAACATTTTTAAATTCACAGTTAAGGGAAATTCCATTATTCTTTTATTAGAACTCTTAATGGAACTCAGCCATTTGCAGCTCCTACTGGCTTCCTCTTCATATCCTTTGTGGCATTGTATCAAAGTCACCTCAGATTACTTTGGCTTCCCTTGTGAAGACTTCATTCCTTTACAAATTAGTCATCAGGCAATGAGGAACTGAATATAAATGCTAGATGGAGTTCCTTTTGATCTTTGCTTTAAGATTGGTAATAAATTGTAAGTAGCTAGACTGCTCAATGAGTGATTTTGAAGCTTCCAAGGTTTGGCATGTTGGCATTCTGTTTTATTCTGTATGTGCAGTGAGAGAAAAGAGAAACGTTTCCTCCTAAGCAGCTCCTGCCCCTCAGTAGCCTCTCCCCATTTTACCAAGCTCCATCAGGGCAAGTCTGAGTTACTTTTAACCTTGTCTCATGTTATTAAAATTAGTGTCCACAAAGACTAGAATTCCAGGGACTGAGTAGCGAGCACTCTTCGCAATCTCAGAACGTTCCTTTCCCGTTAAATAAAATAATAGAGGGCTGTGATTCAAATTACTTTGTCATTTTAATTAACCAATTATGTTCAAACAAATTAGCTTTCAAGGCAGATAGGTTTTAGTGTAAAATGTTTTTTAAGAGGTGGTTAAAGTTGGTTTAAGCATCTCATGCACAGTGAGATTTCTGGGGTGACCTTTGGATTAAATATATGCATATATTGTAAATGAAAGCTTACACAAAATAAAATATAGGCTGTCTGGGAGTTGCTTTAAGAAAGAATTCAAGGAGAGAAGTGAGTATGAGAGAATGAAACAAGGTTGGCCATGTGCTGAGGATTATTGAAAATGAATGATGGGTTTGTGGGGGTTCATTATTCTATGCTGTATATTTTTTTCTTTATGATTAAATTTTTCCATAACAAAAAAAGATGCGAAAAGTAAAATAAACTGCGGTCTGCTCCTTGGAGTAAATGTTATGACATTCTTTTCCTCTCTAGCTAGATTCCTTTTATTGTTAATGTTTCCCTTGATGTAAATTTTTACCGAAGAAGGAATACTGCACATTTCAGTGGGTTCATTATGCTGAGTAAACTCAGAAACACAACTCCTGTTCTTAAGTTGGCATAATTTCCTGAGGCTTCATCCCAAATTATAGTGGGTCACTTAAATGACAGCCTTCCCTACTAGAAACTGCTAAAACAGTTGTAATTACAAAAGGTAGATAGTACAACCGTTTTGTTCTCAGGGAGTCGGTTATATTTGCTCTTCTTTTCTTTCACCCAAACCAAGATTGCTCCTACCTGACCCCAGTCACAGGAAAGTCACCAGGTTAAACAAACTGCGTGGTTTGAGTCAGGCCAGGTGCATTTCTTAATCATACTCTAAAGCCATTGTTTAGGTTGCAAACGGTCAGCTGGTCTTGTTTTAAATGCTGTTACAAAAACAAATAAAACTTAGAGCAAAATGTGCACTTAGGAAAATACCTGATCTGAAGACACTTGCTGGAGACTGGAAGAATTTCATTTTGGACTGTTATCTCCAGCTCCATGTCTATTTAAAAAGATATGTTTTTCAGGAGTTCTTATATGATAGATTTATACAGAAAGGCTTTGACCAAAGCTAAATTCCCACTTATCTGTCCTAATAAAAGGGAACATTGGTGAAGGTAATCCAAAGCAGCAGGTAACCTGATTGGATTTTGTACATTATGTGCTTTCTTCTGTTATTTTAATAAACACATAATAAACATTGCTTGTAATTTCCGAAAATACATCATCCTAACTACCAGGAAAGGTTCAGGGCCAGAGGCTTTCTAGGTCACAGAAAGCCAACCTAGAATTGAGTTTTTCTTTTGGATAAGTCAAGCGTAAGCACAGTAGGCTATAATCAGGACACTTTCATCACAACTGTGCAAATTCGCGTGTGGTTTCTGTCTTTGGCCTGAAGAAAATATCGATATTGCCATGTATATAAAAGATGCAATATACAAATGATGTGTTATAGAATTGTACACTTGAAACTAACCAGTGTCGCTCCCATAAATTTAATAATAATTCAAAGAAATCACAATAAAAATTAGAAATGAAAACTAAAAAAAACTTCATATGTATATTTCTAAATTAGACCATATTAAAAATATATGAATTTTAGGATTAAAAACTGGAATATAGGTATAAAGGCATAGCTTTAAATAAAAAGTGGATCAAAAGAAAAAAAAAGATGTCTCTTCCTTATTTCCTTCCTTCCTTACTTCTTTTCTTTCTTGTTAGATTTTATCAGAATTATGTGGTCAGGGGGATATCTAGGTTTATTAGCTAAACACAGATGTCTATAATCTGCTAATGTAAAAAGCTACTATAAAATATGAAAATGCTTGGAAGTTTTGAAAAAGTTACAAAATTCTATTTGGGTTTATACTGGTTTTTAACATCTGCAAAGTTGACTAAGTTCCTAAACACACTTATTTAACCTGTGTGAATGAATACATACTCAACCATTAAAAGTCAGTCTTTAGCAGGTTGTCACTATGAGAGTCTCAGTGTTTTGTGAAGTGGGCTTCTCATTTTCTTTTAGTGACTATTGTTATTTCAATAATTTTCTACATTTGTAGACATAAAGCAGTGGACACACATGAGAAGTAACATTGTCATACAGCTCCTATGTTGAAGTGAGTTTTTTCTTATGGTGACTAGTGTTATTTTAATAATTTTTCTACATACATAGACATATATCAGTTGAACTGTAAACAAATTCATATGTGTCAGAAAACAGCTATGTATGAATATGCTTGATAAGTTAGCATATGAGTAGATAGAACACGAACCTTAGTGTTTTGCTCAATCAGAGGTCTTTTGTGTAGCAATCTCAGCTAGCTAAAACAACTCAGCACCTACAAGTAAGCCAGCCTGGTCCCAGACTGTCAGAATTATTGTTTAATTCTCTCTCCCTACCTCATTACTTCTTCAGTCCACCCCCCTAGCCCCCACCCCCCCATCCACAAACAGTCCACTAAAAAAAAAAAAAATACTTCTAATAAACAAAGATGCCTGGTTTCCCAAACCACAGTCAACCCTAGCAGCAGTTAAATAGGGGGTGGTTATTGCTTCAAGAAGTCAAAGCTCCATTAAGAAGTGGCAGCATACTAAATGAAGGCAAGGCCAAGGCCATAAAAACTCTAAGTCATTAACAGAGGAGCTCTAAAAATGCAGCTGCCCAAAACCACTTAATTTGGATCCAGGTACCCAAATACCTCTGTACATTTTAGTAGTCTCAGGGTAAAATAATTGGGCCTAAATTGCATCAAGAAACAGATGTTTTGTTTTAAAATAGTAGAGATGTATATAACCTATTTTTAGAAACATTGATATTTTAAGACTAAATTGTTTATCTTAAGAACTCTCTTAGGAGCACCTGGTTCTTAATAAGGTTTGATAAAGGAAGTATTACTATGGAGAGTGGTTTAATGAAAGAAATAGTGAAAGGGTGGTTGAACATGAATTGGTAGTTGGGTAAGAGACAAAACTGTGTGAGCATAAAAGATGAGGGAGGGTTGAGTCAGTATTCCCCCAAATTATTCACTTATCAATTAGATACTGTAAAGGTATTAAAGTCTTTGATAATTGTTTTTTATATATATATATATATATACATATATGTATATATATATATATTTTTTTTTTTAAGATTTTATTGGGGAATTAGGGGGCGGGTAACAGCGTTGGGGAATCGGGGAAGGGGAACAGACAGGTAGACAAATTGCTATTTTGTTCTTCAGTCTAGTTGTGGAGGCATCGCTTCACTGGCCTATGTTGGTATGATCATTGTGCTCTTCCCGGGTGAGGCAGATTGGTCGCCGGTCGTTGGTCGGCCGCTCACAGCGGCTCCCGGTAGCTCACACTGGCTACCAGCCGCTCACGCTGGCTGCCAGCCACTCATAGCTCATGGCAGCCCACTGCAGCCCCCGCCGTTGCCGGCAACTCACGGCAGCCCAGCTCCAGGTCGAGCTGTTGTTCATCATCTTAGCTGTAGAGGGTGCAGCGTCACTGGCCCTCAATGTGGGATCCGAACCGCAGCCCTGCTGCTCAGAGCTGGTGTCCCAAGCCAGCTCTTAAGCAGCTGAGCCACTCAGCCAGCCCGAGAATTGTTATATTTTTATCTTAAATAGTACTCTAGGCATAACTTGAGTGGAATAATTATAAGTTAATGGATCAGTACAGTACATTTTTAATTGCAGCATTAAATATACAAAAATATTGGTATGTGTTTCCATAATCCTCACGTCCTAAGACTACCATAAGAACAGTTGTTAATCCAAACATGTCTGGGAATCCATATCTTCTCATGTACAGTGAAATATTATATAACAAAAAGTGCAAAATTTTTTCTGCCGCTTCGTTTAGACAGAAGCATACAGCAAAAATCGATTTGAAAAGTCTTATGGGGAAAAACAGTCTTGGTTTCTACCACTGTCCTTTCTTTCCTAAGAGACCAATAGCCTCTATGACGTCAAGTTTCGTAAGTACTCGTACGTATATCATACCTTCAGCAAAAGGAGTGGTTTCGTTGTGGAAATCATGTACTGTTGGTTTACATTTCTCCATCAGATTTCTCTAGTGATTTCAGATAACAAGAGTCACCTTGCCCCACTCTTTATGTTTGAAGAATAATGGCCACTTGACTCAATCCTGAGGCAGCCACGGGATTGTCAAGCCTTCATTATCCCCTGAGCTTGGAGTAACATAATGTAGCAACAGAGCACTGTGAGCTGTTCTAGAGAGGGAAGTGGGAGTTTGGCCTAGTGCCTGCTGGCCCCGCTGAGCTTTGAGCTATCTGCTGTCTGGAAATAGCAAATGCCGTTTTTAATGGATCCGGCACTCTACGATAGCCAGATTTTCAAGGCACATGCAGATAAAGAAGCAAGTTATTGATTTGGCATGTTTGTGCCGTGCTGAAAACAGTTCCCTGCAGCAGATTGTCCAAAGCCATTCGTGCACTTAACTCGATTCCCCATCTTTGGCAAAGACTAAGAACTGTTTAAAAGGTAATTTTAGTGATGTTGCTAAATATCAGGAACAATTGGATAAAGGTCTAATTGAGTTCTTTTATTGTTATATTTTCACATGTCATTCTGAAATCATGCTCAGGTTATGGCCTTGAAACTCAGGGAAGTGAGTACTTCAGTAAAGATGAAACCCATTTGTTGGCCCCGTCATCTCTACTCTAAAGCCAGATGAATAAGTCAGCCTCGAAATGAAGGGCGCACTAAATAAAGGCGTGCTCCCAGTGTAAAATCTGTCCTTTCATTTGTTAAAATATCTTCCCTCTCAAGGTGACCATAGGATTTTTACAGAAGATGCAAATACAGCTCAGCTGTTGGCTGCCTCCATAGCGGATATCTGGAGCTGCGCTTTTGCTATCTGGTCTATGCTAACCTGATCCAAAAGCATTTTCCTCATTTTTCACACTCCTCAGCTGGTGAATCAGGTTGAGGAGCAGATCATGTTGGAGCCTAACTTTGATACTCTATGTATTTTTTTCTCTTTTCCTTCTAACATGGCATTGTTCTAAAAATTGAACATTTTTTACATGTTAGTTTATTTTGTTACTGTAACTGCTGGGATAAGTGGTATGTGTAAATGGCAGAGATTTTAATGTTGTTAAAGTGATATATCCAGGGACCCACAGATGCCTGAATTCCCTGCCAGTTATCCTGAGGCTTGACAAGGAGAATTGAATCTGAGTGGATTGTTGTTATTATTAAACTATTTAAAGTACACCACATAACTGACACTACCCTCAAAGCTTAACATGCACACATAACTAACACATTTATCTTTATACCAACCCTCAAAGATGAGTATTCTTATGATCCCCTATTTTACAGATGAAGAAACTGAGGCATGGAGACATAAGTAACTGCTCGAGGTCATACAGCTCACAAGTTGTAGAGCTGTCTGGCTCCAGAGTCCATGCCTAGCACCCCGATGCCACAAGTAGCTGAAAATCTACAGTGTAAGACACTCTGATGAAAGGTAGACTGACATACACAACTCAAGGTCAAGGTTGAAGTGGGCTTTCTTACCCTACTTCTGTCTGCCCGACCCCAAATCCAATCTAAATAGGTAAGCTTTATGTAGAAACAGAGGTGTGAGAAGCAGCCAGGAGAGACAGAGGACCGATGTAGCCAGGGGAGGAACACTGAGGATTCCATTCAATGACCTCCCTGTAAAGCAGAAATAAAGCCCCCAAGCTTATCCTAAAAAAATCCACCTCCACCTCCACTCTTCCCCTGCCTGATTAACTCATAATCAGCCTGGGGCAAAGGAAACGGGCTTTCTGCTGGCCTTCAGAGCTGATGTCATCAGAGACGAGCATGCCGGGTAGGCACTGCTGGGCGTTCCATTTCTAATAGAGCCCCACTCACTTGCTTTCCTCCCCTACTCCCCTCCGTGGGGGTGGGGGTGGGGGTGGGGCAGATGGCAGCACAGTAGTTCCAGCCAAATGATTGGAATTCTTTCAGACCCACACAACAGGGGATGTCCCAGCCAGAGTAATGGGGTGAGTCAGAGCCTAAAAGCCTGAAGCACTGAGAGAGACCGAGGACAGAATCAGCTGAGGTCATGCGACGTGCAGATGGGATGATGGCAGCAGGCAAGTTAGGAACAGGCAGAACACTGTCTTGTTCCGTTTAGCAGGACACCAGCTAGCATTTGGGATATCCTTGTGTGGGCAGGTGGGGTCATGATGCAGAAAATGGAAAGTTCAAGAATGTCCCATTTGGTAGCACATCCTCTCCCCTCCACCACCCCACCCAACCCCTCCCAGGAATGTGATTAATAGGGAAAAAGCAAAGTTCATGATCAAATCCTTTGCTAACATTCAGTATGAAAGCATCGATTAAAAAAATAATCAAAAGAAGATATACATAGGTACGGCAGTTACTGTATTTTCAAATGATCAAGTCTAAAA